CTGCGCTAGTCACAGTACAGAACTGAACTATCTGCTTCTCTTAAATTGGCCAGAGGGAACTTTGCAGGGATGGGGGGGTAGGGGGACTTATGCTGGTTGGTTTGTTTCTGTTTGAAGATGGTTGGTGAGGACCCTTCAGAGAGCACCACGACTTATTAAATACCTTGCCTAATTATTAATAGTTTTTTCTCTTTCTGATGCAGGATGAGTCTGAAGATCTTCACACCCTGGCACTGAAAATCCCACAGGTGGTCTTTTAAAGAATGGGGAAATAATTTAAATCATTTTGTTTCTTGGAAACACTCAGCCCTTGGCCTGTCCCTCGACAGGGTGTGGAGCCCTCTCCCGAGGTTCAGAGGACCACAACTGCCAGCTTGGGCACACATGGAGGTTGTCCTCCCCAAAGGCTGAGGTCCTGGCGAGGACTGGCCAGCTGGAAGAAGAGTCTGCAGAAGAGCTGGTGCCATCCCAGGGCAGACCCTCCCTTGGGTTACAGGAGCTGCTAGGGAGGACGTGTCTGCAAAGGGCAGAGCAAACAATGTGGGCAGGAGAAGGAGAGTTGACACCAGTGAGGCTGGAGAAGGTTGAACTGAGGAGCAAAGTAGGTGCGACCACTTCTCAATACCTTCTCCTCCAGCTGGAAAGTCACATCTTCTAAGATGGGGACTGAAGCAACCAGACTACCTAAGCACCACGGCTTGGTCAGGCGTATCGCAGAAAACTGCACCGTGTCAGAGCTGGGAGACCTCCACGTCCCAACCTAAAGCACCCGTTGGACACGCTCCTGCCTGCACAGCGCTCTGCCTCCCTGCAGGCCAGCACCACAGGGCCCTTCTGCTGGACCTCCACCTCCAAGAGACCACCCACCCTTTTCAGGAACTCTGCCACAGTGCTGTTAATGCTGCAATAAAGACGCGACCCATCCGTGCCCCCACAGCCAGCTCAGAACCCCAGAAGGTCTGTGATTTTACCTCCGTTTCAGGAGCGGCGCATGCTTTTCTGCACAGCTACATCTGTGCTGCGAGCGGGTTCCCCGGCTGGTGACAGCCCTGGTGCAGACGGGGGCTGAGCTTCCAGCTGGCTCCGTTCCCTCCGCAAACAGATGCAGTTCCTATATCAGGGTCTGATTTATTCAGCAGGAGTCTCGCACATTAAGTGTAGTTAAGTCTGAAAACAAATCTAATGACTTTAAAATAAATAGCCAACAGAGGACTTGAAACTAAAATTCTTCCTTCCTCTGACACCCACCATATAAACAATAATAATTATATAAAACCGTGTCTAACACATGACTACACAAGGCTCTGGTGACCAAGAAAAGCACACGCTGCTTGTCAGACATAATTGCACATTTGGTTTTTCAATTATTTCTTGTCAAGATCCAGAGCCCACCATCTGAATGCTGACATTAATTATTGGTAAGTAGTTAGTTTTACAGTAGCGTTATGGAGACTCCCGACGATCACCCCGAGGTCTGCAGCTCCCGACGCCGTTCCCACGCTGCCCTCCGGCCCCTCCAGGACTGTCACGCAGACTCACACCAGCGAGTTACACCAACTGTGCTCTATCATGTGCAGAACGGGCTTCAGAAGCAGCCTGAAAGGAACTTTCCAGTAGCCAGCAGCAGGGTAACAGATCCCCTGGCACCATGCCTCCTCCACACGAGCCCACGTCACCTCCTGATGCCACCTACCAGTCGAGTCCCTCCTGAGCCCCCTCGAGCACCCGACTCCTGGCGATACGCTCCAGCAGCTAACTGCCCATCATGCAAGAAAACATCCTGCCTTTTATTGGCTTTTAATTTGCTGCCTTTTAATTTTGTTGACTGTCTCTTTTTTTCTCGCAAAAGGAAGAAAGAAGTCTCTGATCTACCTCTTCTGGAGTGTTCAAAAACATGCACAGCTTTGTCATGTTGTCTCTTAGTTGTCATCTTCTCCAAGGCAAACAGCAATCTCTCTTCTAGCTCCCTTAAAGGAAGGGTTTTTTATGTCCCTAATAATTCTCTTCACTTTTTAAAATTTCCCATTAATAAGCATACAGCGAGGTGCAGGAACCACACACAAGTTAATAAGGTGGGAGAATAGTGAGGGCTTTCTGCCACCACTAATTCTCAGCTGCACACACTACACTGTGTTATTTCAAAGGCAGCAGATAGGCCCGATCAGAGCTGGGGGGGTGATAAGATCATAAAATCCTGTGCCTTCAGAGCTTTAAACATTTACTTGAAACAGAATAAAATCAATTTAGTACAATAAATAAAAAACAGGATCGCAGGATCGAGACAATACTACAGTCACCACATTAAGATCAAGCATGCTATAGGAACAAAAAAAAAAAAAAAGTTGAAGAAGATAAAGTTGTCCTGGTAACCTTACTTTACTTGTATTTTTTACTGATATAAATTCATTGTTAGAAGCTTCCTTGATAGCTTGCAATTAGTGACAGTTTCAAGCAGCAACAACTTTGAAAAACATCTACCTTGTACCTCCAGCCACTAATGGCCTCACAGATTTTGTCAAAGCCACATGTCAACCTTCAGTTTCTGATAAAGCTTTCTTGAAATATTAAATTTTTATTCCATTTCACTTTTTTTAAACAGAATTGGTCACATTCCCTTTTTTGACCACCTTTTGTTCAGTCAGGTAAATGCTGAAGTGAATTTTGTTTCCATTTTTCTAAAAGAAAAAGTGGTGGCCAGCCTCACACTTCTCTATGTGTGTACGAAATAACAGTGATAATGGAGGGAAGTTCTGCCACCCTGATGGGTGCTCGGGTACCCGCCCTCGGGAGGGCCACCGGCTCGTGCCCGGGGGATGCCGAGGCCCCGGGGGCTCCCCCACACGCCCGGGAAGGGAAGATGCCCCCAGGGAACACCCGTAGGGTCAGCTCCCACACCGAGAACACACTCACCGACCTGCTCTGCAAAACCCTCTGGCAAGAGCTACAAAACTGAATTAAAAAGTCAGAATAAAGGCTTTGGGGGAAGGCAATAATGCCTGGCTCCCTTCCCCTCGCTTCTCAGCCCAGGCCCTTCCAGAGCATCATTCAGGCTAACTCCCAGCGTCCTGGGAGAGTGCTGCTGGACCACACTGATGAGCCACCCCAAAAATGGGAAAAGAGATATTTTCCTCTGCCTAAGGAATATGCTGGTGCTGCTTCCCGCTGCCGAAATCTGCCTGCCCAGCCTTCCAGCCCTGCTGAGCCCAACCCTGCAGGCACCCCAGAGGCGTTCAGTGCCGGGCAGGGACCACGGCTGTCACAGCTGGGAGCACCGGGAGGCGCGGGAGGGCCCCCACCACAGCGTTCCAGAGATCAGAAGAACGGAGTGGGCTTTTGACGTGGAAAGATGTGTTTCACCTGAGGGATAAAACTTCAGCAGGGCTTTCAAGTCTCCAGGAGGAACAGGAGGGTGCTCTGGCATACGGTTAGTGGAGAGACGGTATCACTGGCAGTGCAAAGGGGAGGATGTGAAACGCAGCTCGAGCTGTGAAGGAGGCCGGCAGCGCGGGAGGGGAGCACTGGTGTTCACAGCTTCGGGGTCAGGGGCTGGGGGGTGCCCAGAGAAAAGGCTCGTGTCTCACCGGGGGCCTGCCCTGGGCAGGGGAGCAGCACCAAGCCCTGCCGTGGTGACCCACAAACCTTGTCTGGGTGCGCTGGGGGGGGGCCCTGCCCCACACAGATCACGCCGATGTGGAGACAGTGGCTTCTGCCACCCCATCACAGCCTCACTGCTTGTGCCCCTGCAGCATCCAGGGGCTGCCCACACTGCTGTACCCCCTGGCTGAGGAAGAGGCAGGTGATGCTGCCGGAGGTGATGCCAGGACAGGGTGCAGCCCCCCAATCCATGCTGGCTTTTTTTCACAGCAGCCAAACTAGCTCTGGTTTTCTCTTGTCTGTTGTCCCCCATCCATGCTTATGCAACCCACAGATGTGCCCTGGGTGCTCAGCAGTCCCCCCACCCCAACAAGCTGTGCATCATCTCACCACGTGACGGCACCTCTTTTACTTTCCTCTTTTACCATCTTCTCCAACTCTCATTCCACACCCCACTGCAGCCCACTCCCCTTCCCAGCCCACACACTCGGCTCCCTGGTAGATCTCCAGCATTTCCCCTGATTCCACCCTGGCATCTCTAATCTCCTACATCTCCATCTAGTTGTACTACAGAACTTTTGAGACCTGGGAGATGAGTTTGCCACTTTGCTTGTGGATGGCAGACAACCAGGAATTGACTTTGAGCATGCAGGGGACCAGGTAAGCCCTACTGTCACCAAAGCCACGCTTTGCTCTTGGCTCCCACCACCTCCCCCATGCTGGCTGGCACATCAGCGCTGCTCTGCAGAGGAAAACCAGCTAAAAGGAATTTGTGCCTGGACCACGAAGGAAAGCTGCTCCTTCTTCCACAGCTCTTGCACTGACTCCATTGGAAAAGAGTTGGAGGGGGACTGAGAAGCACCATCTTCAGTGTATGCCATCATGCCCAGAAAGGTAAGATGCCTTGAAGCATCAGCAAGAGGTGGAGAGCCATGTGGGACCTAACAGGTCTTGCACCCACCAGAGTGGGAGCAGCACAGACATCCCTTAGCAGAGCAGGATCAGAAGGCTGGGTTGGTGGAACACCTCTCTCTTCTGCTCCTGCGTGAGAGCTCTGCTGTGCACCCAGCCGCCGCAGCATGGCCCAAGGTCTCCATCCAAGCTCTTCCTGCGATGGTTTTTGCATCCCAGAGCGGGCACGGAGCTGAGGGGACTCAGCTGTACCACCCCACACTGCACAGAAATCATGTCTCCTTGCAGCCCCCAAGGCCACAACGGTCCTTCTTGCATCTATCTTTTTAGCAAATTCCAAAAACGGGTGTATGGACACTGTGCTCTAACAGCTCCCAACTCACTCCTCTCGTGTGGTCACCCTTCACCACCCGCCTCCGAGATGGAAAGCTGCATGGGAGCAGAGCCGCATCCGCCCACCACATCCCACCCAGCAGGGAAAACCATCCACCTACCTGCTGGAAGAGCTCCTCCGCCCACTGCTGTTGCTCTCGTCGGCCTAAAGGGGCAAAAGACATACAAAAAAAAAAAAAGGCTGTTTAGGTTAAGAAAGGCAAGGCTGCCCTCCAAACTCTTCCTGCTCGCACACTGCACCCAAAATACCTGGGGTTTTCCGTTCTGAGTTACCCCCCCCCCCCCGTGCTCGGTGGTGGGACACGTCGTGCGCTGCCTGCAGGAGGCTGGGGCAGGAGTTCAGACACAGCCCCACCGCGGAGGCGCCTTTCGGAGCCGATGCCCTCCCCCTGCCCTCATGCAATTATTTTATTGCGCTTCACCAAAGTTTAAAGTAACAATTCCTCGTATGCAAAAATTTGTAGGAGGGGAATAAAGCAGAAATAGCCAAATTCACTGCTGTATCCAAAGGGAGATGGCCTCACTGCTGGATTGAGGGGCAGGGCCAGCGCGCCTCCCTTCGTTAGCGGTGAACTGCCTAATTGAGCCCCTCCGGGCCATGAGAAGGGGCTGAGCAGGGAGTAACCAGGGACTCCTCCTTTTCGCCCCCTTCCCCTGGCTCTCTGATGAGAGGTTTCCTTGGAAAGACAATATTATTCCAAACCCAGAAATTTTATTTCTGAATTTGTGCAAACACAAGTTAAAAGATATTAGCTGCATTTCACATTTTGTGCAAATGGCAGAAACAGGCAATTCATGTGCAGCAGGATGGGGGCTAGCCAACGATTTCGATAAAATAAACCCTTTTTTAATTTAAATGCTAATGCACTGAATTAAAATTTAATAACTGAGGAAATTGAAAAGCCGAGCAGGAATATTGGAAATAAATCCAAGCAGAAACAGCTGAAATTAAAAATTCTAGAGAGTGGGAGGATAGCAGCTAAGCTGTCTTATATGATTACATTTTTTTTTTTTTTTTTTTTTTTTTTCAGAACGAAGTGGGGAAGGAAAAAAAAATCCTATCTTTGGCTGGCTGTAGGGCAGTAAATCGAGAGTGCTGTGATTTATTGCTCAATTTTCCTGAGGGAAAAAGGCTTTCTTTCATGCTGAAATATTTCATAAATTTCAAGCCAGCATAAATTCTTAATTTAAAAGTTATGGAGGTCACATTTAGTGCACTGGTGCAATTCTGAAATCTTAAAGGAATAGCATCCAAAAAAATTGCAATTTGATTTTATTTTTTTAATTCTTCAGGTGAAATTTTGTTCAAAGGGATTCTCCAAGTTGCACAAAGCAGAAATACACTCTTGACTCCTGAAGGTTTAAGAAATCCTCTGGAAATTAAGAGATAAAAATCTAATTCAATTGCAAAAAGGTATTTTTATTATTATCATTATTATTATTATTATTGTTATTAGCCACTTGAGGAATTTCTGTTAAAAAATTTCCTCCCTCCATTGCCTAGGAAAAGCCAGAAGGGAGGAGCTGACAATGTAATTGCTTCTGTTAGATCTCCAATCTTTTGTGAGCACTGATATGTTCATTTGTTATACAGCTGTTCAGCTACAGAAAGGATGTCAGAGCACCCATAATTCAAAGCAATCAATCAAAAATTAATGATTTGTCATGCTTACACAATGGGGAAAAAAAAAAAAAAAGCTTTATGGGTTCCTGCAACTGGTAGATTGCTCAAACCTTCGGGGCATTTTCTAGAAGATTAGATCTGTGTGTATGAAAAAAAAGAAAAAAGAAAAGGAGACTTAATATACAGTCAGGGAAGAAACCTTGTGGGGTTCTGGGGCATTGGTGTTACCCCAAATCCCCTAGAGATGGGGTACGCTATGATTCCTGTCTGTTTTAAGAGCTTTCTGCACAACCCAAACTTGGGAGTCATCCTGTAAGCCACATTCCCCAACGCAGAGAAATTGCCCAGGCTCCTGCAATTATAATTCCACACAAAAAAAGCCCGCTGAATATAAAGGTCACCTGGACAAGAGCTTGGGAAAGCCACAAAATACAGAAGCCAAAGCTAAAGGCACAGCCTTGACTTTGCCTTTGCATCATCTGCAGGACCACTCCACCCACAACACCAAGTGTTAGCTAAATATTACCAAAAATTGAAATATTTCAGTTTGGGAAGAATGTAGCCAACCTCAACTTTGGGAAACTGCCTGAGATTGCAAAGTCATTCATCCTCCATGTAAGCAAGAATTTTTTAAAATATAAATGCATTTCGGGAATGCGTCATGCAGGGATCGTGCTCCTGATATGCAGCGTATCGATGCCTCGATGCCGTATTTTATTCCTGGTTATACACACGTGTTAGCTGGTGCCTTTGGTGTGATTTACCGCCCAACCTAATGCAAGTATGACTCTGTGAAGGATCCTGCATGTAATTCATTTTATGTTCCTTTTCATATTTGTATCTGGAGTTGAGCGAATGAATTGTTGGAAATAAATGACGTGGTGACTGTGGCCTCTGCAATTCCTGACCATCCCCGACTGACCTTCTGGGGCCAATATGCAATTTTATTATTTACTTAGTTTTTGCTTGCCTTCCCCATTCTCTGTGTGCCTGCCCTACTCAATTTCCCCTTTCTGTCTTTTTTTTATTATTATTTCTTATAATGCCACTTTTTTGCCTTTGACCTATTTTCATGAGCAACTCATGGACTCTCCTCTCTCGGGACGTAGCACATGCTAGCACAAAGGACAAGACTTGCATGAAGATCACAGAAAGGGAGGTGCAACAGTTTGACTCCACCAACATTAGGAAAAGAAAAAGAGGAAAAAAAAGAACTGCAAGAGGTAAGAGCTCTCAATCTAGATGGTTTCACACAGCCAAGATGCTCTTGGAGAGGAGGCATCTCCGGGGCATCTCCTGTTGGGGTAACACTCAAAAGCCACCAATGGACACAGGCAGAGCTGGCACAGTTGTTTTGGGGCTGCTGCAATCCCACAGCTGACTTCTTAGTTTGGATCCATTAGATCTAAACAGCAAGCCAAGTCTGAACGAAATCAGATCTAGCTGTCTTAAAGGTGTATGGATGCTTAAATAAGCCCATCCTCACCAACGATGCCACCAGGAGACACCTTCACACACTGCTCCGCTTTCCAAACATGCATTTATCTGGCAAATTTTCTGTGCCAGCAATTTGTCTTGGTTGCAAACTCTTTAAGAACAGCTTTGTTCAGCACTTGTGCAGTGCCAAGCACAGCAAGTCGCAGCCCATCCTAAGGCTGGGAAGATGATTTAATTGTAAGTCATCAGCACCCACACTACTCGAGACCAGAGCATGTCCAGCATAAACGCAGGTAGATGATTTCCTCCGATCACACGTGGTATGCAAAGGTGAGAAAGCATGACAAAGAAGCGCCATGGTGCTCCCTTCAAACTTTGCAAAATAAACACAATTGCAAGCTTAATAAAAAAGGAAATATTTCAGCAAAGTGTATATAAGTTGACCTACATGAGCCATCTGATGTGCCTCCGCGCTCCATGGAAGCAGGCAGGTCCACTGCGGCGCGATGCCCAGGACCCTGCCAGGTGGCTCCGACCCTCAACGATCACAAAGCAAATATCAAAAATAACCTTGACGGCAAAGCCCTACGGACTCGAATTGGTGGACGCGTCTTTGGCGCAGGGCTGGGTGGCAGCACCCATCGTGCTGCCCAAAGAACCAGCCGCGGCACCCGGCTGCACCCCCCCGGAGCAGCCTGGGCAAGGGCCACCTCAATGTTCAGCAGAACATCTCCAGCCCCTGGGGGCACCACCCTGGCCTCCAGCTTGCCACCCCACCCAAAAGGTGACCTGCTCCTCTCCTGCTCTGCTCAGGGCTCACCTTCAGCACGGGGAAAAAAACAGGAGATGCATACACATAGTTTTTAAAGTCTGACTCAAATAAGCTTTCTTCCTTTTATTCTGCAGTAAAGCCTGTTTGGAATCGAATGTGAAGGGCTGATGCCTTTTGCAGGCCATGCTATTAAACCATTTAAAATAAAACACTGCATTTAAATTCTAAAAAGTGGTATTTAAGTACTAGAAATATCGTAAGTAAGTTGAAGTGGTGAATTGCTGAAAATCACCATTTAACCGCCAGCAACCAGAATGCGCCGAAATGGGTCAGAGCAGCTTTCAACAAAGTTGAGTCTTTGGGAAGGGCAAAGAGAAATCTCCTGCGCACCGATTTACCCAGGTAATTTAATTCGGTGACTCCTTCATTTATAATTGAAAAAGCAGAGGAGCAGAGTTTGCATCTGCCTGCCAGTCGATGAGTAGGGGAGGACGGATGCGGGGCTCTGAAACACAGGCTGGATAATTAGTCATACAATCTCTCACACAAAATAATTTACAATTCAAAATATGATTCCCTAAAGCTGCTTTCGTACGTATTGAGTATGTTTAAGGTAGTTTTGTTTAACTAATGCTAATAAATATCTTTTAAATTAAAATGCACAAAAGCAGAATCTGGTTTCTGGCCATATGCTCCTAGACTCAAGTTGTAAGCAAAAAGTAAATCATGTGATAAATAAGAAATGTATCAGTCAACATCTCCTAACACGATAAAGTGTCAAAAATTAGAAGTCCAAGCAGATGTATAACTGACCCGAGAAATCCATGTTTATAGAAAGGGCTACACTATATCGCGAAAAAATCCCAACATTTTAACAGTTACTGCAAAATAAAAAAAATAACTAAAAACCATAAAAATATTAAATCAGATTTCAGAAGATTTAAGCACGGGCTTTCTGCCTGATCACTTAAATGATGATTAAAAAGAATTATTCAAATCACTTGGATTTGCATCCACGTATGCCATGCTCTGATCTGCTCCCACGGGCGTTATGCCCAGCGTGGGACGGGGGTGCCAGGACCCCCCCTGCCCCATCCACCATCGCCAAAGCCCTCCCCAGGGGGGAGAAGGTTTTAAATCCATTTATTTATTTGTATACAGCCACCCGCCCATGATTTGCCTCCGAATTTCGCACTGGCTCTGCTGAGGGGAGATGCCCCTAATTCTGCCTGGGGTTTGCAGGAGGAGCAGAAGCTGCTCACCCCAGCTCCTCTCCCAGAACAGTCAGCTTTACTGTCCAGATGCTTTGCAA